CAGGACCTGCCTTTCATAGACCCATCCTGACTGGGTCTCATCCCCTGGTTCACCTGTAACGATGACACTCAGGATGATTTGCTCCGTAACTTTCCCCAGCGCGCAGGTCAGACTGACAGACTTGTAGTTCCCTGGATCCTCCTTCTGGCCCTTCTTGTGGATGGGTGTCACACTGGCTAACCTCCAGTCCACTGGGACCTCCCTGGTTAGCCAGGATTGATGATGTATGATGGAAAGTGGCTTGGTGAGCACTTCTGCCAGCTCCCTCAGTACCCTCGGGTGGATCCCACCCAGACCCATAGACTTGTGTTTGTCCAAGTGGTGTATCTCCTGCTTGTCTGTCAAGTGTGGGCATGGAACGGAATGTTTGTCTCTTTGTTTGGGCACGGTTTATTTTCAAAGTGTGCTTTCTGTTAAATACTAGTACTAACAACACTGGAACATGAAGATGACTTGGGCCAATCAATATCCCATGCATATTTGGTAACGGAATTCAAACATCTCTCTCCAACAATGAGGACAGTTCAGGTATCACAGCGACATGAGGCACAGACCACATATCAGTCACTCCCAAACTAGCATCAGTAGTTCTGCATATCCAGTGAAAAAGGCAGATGCTTAAACAAGTCACTTAAAAGACAGGGCAGCTGTCCAGGCAGGTGTCTCCCGTCCAGGGACAGTGACAAGCCAGTGGCTTTCGTCTCTGCTGTTTGATTAGGGGAAAAACGAAACCCTTTAGCGTTAGAGAATCCCTGATGCAGCTGCTTTTGTCCATTGGAATTCGCTGTACCTGGCACCGCTCATGCTTTATTTTGATCTGGGTAACTTTGTCCGGCTTGTGGGACGGTTGTTACAGATGTAAGTATGCTAACTGGTGTAAGACTGCAGTTAACCTTAATTAAAAATTGCTTGTCCTAACCGTTAATCTGGTGTATGCAGAACACGCACACGATGACTCTTTAGTAGAACGTCTGTTAGGTGTTAGGTAGTAGCTACTGGGGATGGCTTTTCCCTTATTAAACAAACCAAACCAAAACAAGGAAACAAAACCCTGCAGAGAAAAACACCTCTGAGCTGAGTCCTGTGAGCTCCTGCAGCTTCCGTGCCCCGACTGCCGTGCACTTGGGCCTGGTATCCGGTTTCTTTTGTGGGGAGAAAAAGAAACGGGATACTTGTGCGACTTCGGACAGAGTTCAGTGGACTGTTGGCTACCGTGTGCTTTACTGCTAACGGTGGATATTCCCTGCTGGAAACACTGATGTGTCTGTAATGGTGATTAATGGGACCTGCTTTCTCCTCTATATTAACCTGCTGTCAGTTAATTCCCTTTTTAAATAAAAAAATCTCTAATAGATTTTTTTTTTTTAATCGAAAAGAAACGCAGCATTTTTCAGATCATCTCTCTGTGTTGCTTTTGGTTGCTTTGTAGCCTCTGTACTTCTCGGGCTCTGCAAGTTACTGCCTGATTGCAGATGTGTCTTCATCTTCTCTTCTCAGGGAGAGCTGGTGACTGCGTCCAAGGCAATAATTGAGAAAGAGTATCAACCAAAAGTCATAGTGAGCACAACAGGACCAAACCCGTTCAACAAACTCACCGATCGAGAGCTGGAAGAGTATCGCAAAGAAGTAGAAAGAAAGCAGAAGGGACCAGAAGGTTGGTTTCTCTGTGCGTGTTTGCAGCAGCGGGCCGTGCTAACAGCACGTCCCTTATCGGTGGGAAGGGGGGTTACCTGCACAGGCCATGGATGAGGTATCCAGCGTTAGCAGGGTGTTTCCAGGGTGAATCAGAAAGTCAAGAAGCACATTGGAGAGAGCACGTGCCATCTGAGAGCTGATGGCGTGTCCTGTAAAACACACAGGCCTTCTTCTAAACATTATCCCGGCGGGGTGTTCAGTGGGGCCAGGTACTGCTGCTCTTCAGAGCTTGGAAGCTTGCAGCTTCAGCCGCTGCGGGGTGGGATACGCTGTTGTTATGCCTGTGTAACGTTTATTCTCTCAGTAACGGTGCTACCTCCTTCTTAGCTAAGGTATCAAAATATGGAGAGACTGTGTTACTGAGAGAGACACCCGCTGGGGAACAGAGTACGTGGCTTAGAAATCAGCCCATCAGTGAGCAGAGTACGTCAGATAACACACCTCTGGATTTGAAAGGCAGATCAAAAACCTTTCAAGGAGCAGATTCAAAGACTTTACAGGATCGTGACGTATCATCACTGTCTAAATCTTTAGATGACACTCAGTTTGCTGCTGCGTGGGTTTCTTGTCAGACCATGCAGCAAGCCACCACACACCTTAACCGCGAAGAGCCAGATGGGCAGAAGTCCTCCCATAAGGAATTTCATACTGCAGTGATCAGAGCGTTAAGGTCCAATCCTGACCTTTTGGCTGAGGCCTCAGGTATTACTGATGTGTCGGGCTTGCAATCTCAGGAACCACCTCTTTACCTACAGCGTGTGGAGATTCTGTCAGCTGACTCATCTGTGGGACTGATTTCCCTTCCAATTCCTTAGGTGGACCGTGTGGAACAGGGTTTTAATACTGTTCCTGGTACATGGTCTGTGCTCTAATGGTTTCCTTTAGATCTAGGGTTGGTTAAACCTGGAAGCAAGGGGGACCCTCCTTACTAATAACAAATAGGCGAACCGCTGTGAAATCCGTTTTGAATCATTTAATTGCTGCATGTTTCTCTGATCATCCCCGCAGTCACCTCTTCCTTTGGCCGGTCTCTTTGCCCCCGGTCTCGGCAATACAAAGCAAGCAAAAGAGCCTTGTCTTGGGTCAGCCTGAGGGCATTCTCCCCGCTGCCCTCGAGTTCGTTCTTATCTTCCTTCTGGGTTTTCCTTGCAAGCTTTCTTCAGAACAGCCTGATAAACCAACTCATAAACAGTGCCGTGATCCCTGCCCGCTGACGAAAAAGCCCCAAAACAACACGTAGCTCGGCTGCGACTTCAACCGTTGCGCCAGTACCAAACTATCCCTTCGTTGCCTTTTGCTTGTTTTGGCATTGTTCGATGCCCTGGCAGAATTCCAATTCAGAAAAATGCATTCGTCTCTCGTGCGTGTGGAGCCAAAGGACCCTTGTTTTCTCACGCGCGGGAAGGTTTTTGTTTGCGTTTTAATTTCTCCCTGCCTGCACCTGCAGAACCTTCAGAAGACGGCAGGCAGCAGAAAGAGAGGAGTCCCCCCGATCACACTTTGGCTCGCACTCCGCCCAGCACGCCCATTAAGATAGAGGAAGGTATGTTCTTCTCATCTGGGGGCCAGGGGAAACCAGTAACTGCATCACCAGGGACTGGTGCATGACAATGTGTGAGCTAGTGTCTCATCAAGGTAAATCGCTTCTCCTACTGTTATACTGCCCAAGATACACGGCGCTGAACTCTAATAGGAGCGATGTTTACAATAATCAAGAAGTGTGCATTACTATAGAGACAAATTTTCACCTGTACAGAATTGCCTTGTCATCTCTTGCTGTTTCTCAACTGATGTACCCTTGTACATGTTTCCTGCGAGAGAGAATTGCTCTTAAGAAATGGAACAGTGTCCTCTGGTGAACCAGACGCACGTTCAGGTGCTTTGGTAAATCTCCTTCACCGATTGCACATTTCTTAAACATTATTGTACTTGGATTACACCTCAGTAAATATGTTTTTTTCCAACTCCATTTGAGTCTAAATACCACGATTTGCCCATCTTATGTAGTCGTTTTAACTGAGATGAGAGCAGGGCTGCTACAGCTTCCTCAAAAAAGCATAAAGTAACAATCTTGAACAGGTGTAATCTAATTTTTGTCTTGTTTCCCTTTACCTTGTACATTGGATATATCACTTGTCTGTTAGTCCTCCATTCCCTACTTCATCTCATTCCGTTTTCAATAAGAATGGCTGCAACCATTCTTCTGACTTAACCCGATGGCTGTGATGAATGCATAGATTCTCTACTTGTGCTTTTTTCTTCTTGTGGCTGCGTTACAAACAGGAGATGGATATGCTAAAGAGTACCTGTTACCATAGTAAGTATCATTCCATACTCTGACCTGCTTACGTGCTTTGCTTTGCTTTTGCATCTTTGTTTACTACGGTGGTTTTGTTGGGTTTGCCTTTTTATTTGAAGCAGGCTTTTTCGGTTGAGTCGCTGATTTCATTAGTTCTTGATTTCGTTAAAATCTGGGTAGGTACCAGTGTTCTGTCAGAATGCGCTCCCCCTTGGAAAGAGACTGTGCGAGTGACATCATGTGTTTCCATACCTGTGTCTGGTTCCTCGGGTTAAAAAGGAATAGTCTGAAGTCGTCGTTCAGATGCAGCCGAAACGGGTCTGGGAGTTTCTGCCCCGACGCTGTGCTGCTGCCTGCGCAGCTGGGGCCGGGCAGGGAAGGGGAAGTTCCGGCTCTGTGGCAGTGCAGACGTGGTCCCAGCAGCCAGCTGACTTCTGCACACGAGTGGGCGTGGAGCTGCTCCTGTTGGGCGCGTCAGCTGTAGGGAAGCTGCGATCCCAACCGGGGACAGCAGCAACTGCCACAGCTGTTTCGGCTTCATCGTCAGGGCCGCATCAGACTATGCTTTACAGAAACAAGGATGTTTGGCCCCCTTCATTTGTATGTCCTGTTACATCCAAAAGTCAGTGTGTCTGTCGTGGGTACCAAGGTCAAACTGCAGCTGTGATGTTACTAACGAAGTCCTAAAACCTGAAAGTTCTTTTAATCTGAGAATTGCGTTCCACGAACTCTTTGGCTGTGCAAGCTCTCCAGGGCAGACAGGCAGAGCTTAGTTTAGAGCAGAGCTGGAAGCTCACACCATGACGACAGGGCTCTTGGTACACAGCCACTTCTCAGCTTTGTGCCCCTCATGTTGTTTCCGTTTAGGTGCAGCTGAAGTCAGGAAAGTGTTTTGTGTTAACTCAGTTACAGCCTAGTCTGTATGTTTGTCCATGTGTTTGTGTTTAAAAAAAAACCCTTAAACCTTTGTTTTTGTAAATAATGTGAATTGTAAACACGCCCCAGCATTAATGCTGCTTTTCAAACACTTACACCACAGCATATGTAAAGGGAAAGCCTGGGTGTAGACGTGATTGTTCTAAAAAACCTCAGAAATGTTGAGGTACTGCCGAGTTACATCATAGAATCACATCATAGAATGGTTTGGGTTGGAAGGGACCTTAAAGATCATCTAGTTCCA